TAAAAAAACCTAAAAAAATTAAAATATTTTAAAAAATTAAAATATAATAAACCTAATAAATTTAAAATATTTTTAAGAAAATTAAAAATATTAAACTGTGTTTTCCCCTGGCAGTGAAAGCCTCCCCTTCCAAGAAGAGCCGGAGCGGTCCCGCGATTCCCAGACGGAGCTGCCAGGGGGGGATCCCGGCCCAGCTCCACGGGGGCTCCGACACCAAAGCACAAGTGACCACGGAGGCAGACGTGGAGCAAGGTTGGAAAAAACCCCAAAATCCCAAAAATCCCCTGTTTTCCAGCTTTTTATCCAAGTGGAGCTGCCTGCTTCCGGAGCTGGGCGGAGAAAATAGGAAAAAAACCCCTATTTTCCTGGTTTTTGGGGTGTCTCCAGTGGGATTCCAAGCCCTGGGAGTGGTGGGACAGGAACAGGGGGTTTTCCAGTGGGATCCCAATCCCTGGGAGTGGTGGGACAGGAACTTGGGGTTCTCCAGCTTCCTGGAATGTCTCCAGTGGGATCCCAAGCCCTGGAATTGTGCTGGTGGTGGGACAGGAGCAGGGAGTGTCTCCAAAGGGATCCCAAGCCCTGGGAGTGGTGGGACAGGAACAGGGGGATCTCCAGGTTCTGGGGGTGTTTCCAGTGGATCCCAAGCCCTGGAATTGTGCTGGGACAGGAACAGGGGGATCTCCACATTCCAGAGGTGTCTCCAGTGGGATCCCAAGCCCTGGGAATGCTGGGACAGGAACAGGGGGATCTCCACATTCCAGAGGTGTCTCCAGTGGGACCCCAAGCCCTGGGAGTGCTGGGACAGGAACGGGGGGTTCTCCACATTCCAGAGGTGTCTCCAGTGGGACCCCAAACCCTGGTAATGCTGGGACAGGAACTTGGGGTTCTCCACATTCCAGAGGTGTCTCCAGTGGGATTCCAAGCCCTGGGAGTGGTGGGACAGGAACAGGGAGTTCTCCACATTCCAGGGATGTCTCCAGTGGGATCCTAAACCCTGGGAATGCTGGGACAGGAGCAGGGGGTTCTCCACATTCCAGAGATGTCTCCAGTGGCATCCTAAACCCTGGGAATGGTGGGACAGGAACAGGGGGTTCTCCACATTCCAGAGGTGTCTCCAGTGGGATCCCAAGCCCTGGGAGTGGTGGGACAGGAACAGGGCGTTCTCCACATTCCAGAGGTGTCTCCAGTGGGATCCCAAGCTCTGGGAGTGGTGGGACAGGAACTTGGGGTTCTCCAGGTTCCTGGAATGTCTCCAGTGGGATCCCAAGCCCTGGAATTGTGCTGGTGGTGGGACAGGAGCAGGGAGTGTCTCCAAAGGGATCCCAAGCCCTGGGAGTGGTGGGACAGGAACAGGGGGATCTCCAGGTTCTGGGGGTGTTTCCAGTGGATTCCAAGCCCTGGGAATGCTGAGACAGGAACGGGGGGTTCTCCACATTCCAGAGGTGTCTCCAATGGGATTCCAAGCCCTGGGAATGCTGGGACAGGAACAGGGGGATCTCCACATTCCAGAGGTGTCTCCAATGGGATCCCAAGCCCTGGGAGTGCTGGGACAGGAACAGGGGGTTCTCCACATTCCAGAGGTGTCTCCAGTGGGATCCTAAACCCTGGGAATGGTGGGACAGGAACAGGGGGTTCTCCACATTCCAGAGGTGTCTCCAGTGGGATTCCAAGCCCTGGGAGTGGTGGGACAGGAACAGGGAGTTCTCCACATTCCAGGGATGTCTCCAGTGGGATCCTAAACCCTGGGAATGGTGTGACAGGAACAGGGGGTTCTCCACATTCCAGAGGTGTCTCCAGTGGCATCCTAAACCCTGGGAATTCTGGGACAGGAACAGGGGGTTCTCCACATTCCAGAGGTGTCTCCAGTGGGATCCCAAGCCCTGGGAGTGGTGGGACAGGAATAGGGGGTTCTCCAGGTTCCTGGAATGTCTCCAGTGGGATCCCAAGCCCTGGAATTGTGCTGGTGGTGGGACAGGAATGGGAGATTCTCCAATGGGATCCCAAGCCCTGGGAATGGTGGGACAGGAACAGGGGGATCTCCAGTGGGATCCTAAACCCTGGGAGTGATGGGACAGGAACAGGGGATCTCCAGGTTCCTGGGGGTGTCTCCAGTGGTATCCTGATCCCTGGAATTTTCCTGGAATTTTGCAGGGTCCCACCTGGGCCGCCCGGATCTCCTGCCCCGCACTCTGCCCGTGGACGAAGCCAACAGCGACTCGGTGGCCACCACCCTGTCCACGTCCTCCCTGGGCAGTGGGGGCCTCAATTCCCCTGCCAACAGGTGAGGATGAACTCCCAAGGGTCATTCCCGAGCCTTTGGAGCCCCTCTGGAATGTTCTGGGCCGGGGGGGGGCCGTGTGTGGGGGATTCCCAAGTGGGAACATCCCCGTCCATGAGTGTCCCTGTCAGGTTCTTGCTGCTTCTGCTCTGTGGCTTCTGCTTCCCTGAGGAATTCTGCTTTCAATCTAATTAATTTTAACCTAATTAATGAATGATTGTTGATTATTTGGAGTTAATTTGGCCCGGAAAAGAGGAGTTCCTGCCGATCCAGCGAGGTTTTGTTCCCAAAATTTGTGATGAGATTCGACCTTCCCAGAGGGTTTGGGATCTTCTGGGAACCCCAGGAGGGCTCAGCACTGAGCTCCCACAAATCCCAGATATCCTGGGATTGCCTGGAACCTTCTGGAAAGCCCATGGAACCTTCTGGGAAGCCCATGGAACCTTCTGGAAAGCTCGTGGAACCTTCTGGAATCACCACCCCGGGCTCGTTTAAACCCGGAGGGCTGATTTTGTTTTTTTAGGATTTTGGTGTTTTTTTGGATTTTTTAGTGTTTTTTTGGCTTCTCCACCCGAAGCTTTGCCCAAGGAATGCTGCACCGGGATATTCCCGTGGCTGGGAAGAGCAGGACGGCCCTGGATCTGTGGTTTATTGACCTCTTTAAAAACTGCTTTACAGGTGTCCCCCCCCTTCTGTTTCCCCAGCGGCTCCTCCCCCGGCCCCTCCGGCCCCGAGCGCTCCCGGGAGCTGAGGGAGCAGCTCCAGGACCTGCAGGAGACAGAGATCAGCTTTGTGAGTATTCCCAGAGGGAAAACTCGGCCCGGGGATGGAGCAGGAGGGAGGATTTGGGGGTTGGTTTGATCCCTGTCCCGTTGGGAACATGGAATGGGAGAGGGGCAGGAGCAGCTCTTCGCCCCTCACCAAATCCACCTCCTGGGGCTGATCCACCTCTTGGGGGTGGATCTGATGCCCCAAAAGTGGATTTGGGAATCGGATAAAAGGGGAGGGAATCAGAGGAAACCTGGGATTGGATAAAAAGCAGGGAATTCCCTCGTTCCTGAAGGCCTGGAGTTGTGCTGGTGGTGGGACAGGAACAGGGGGATCTCCAGATTCCAGAGGTGTCTCCAGTGGGATCCCAAGCCCTGGAAGTTGTGGGACAGGAACAGGGGGTTCTCCACATTCCAGAGGTGTCTCCAGTGGGATCCCAAGCCCTGGAAGTTGTGCTGGTGGTGGGACAGGAACAGGGGGTTCTCCAGTGGAATCCCAAGCCTTGGAAGTTGTGGGACAAGAATGGGGGATTCTCCAAAGGGATCCCAAGCCTTGGGAGTGGTGGGACAGGAACAGGGGGTTCTCCAGATTCCAGAGGTGTCTCCAGTGGGATCCCAAGCCCTGGGAGTGGTGGGACAGGAA